TCTTATTTTAATATGTATTATTAATATAATCATATTTTAATTTTTTATATAATTATTTTAATTATTTAATTATTAAATATTATATATGCATCTCTAAATAAAATAAATATTCTATATATAGATAATAATTTTTTAGTAAGAAGGAATTGCTAGATTCTTGACGTGATCTAGCAGATTTCCTTTTGCGTGAGTCGATGAATCTCGATGATCTCAATAGACATTTCGTAGAAAAGCTTTCTTTAAAAAGAAATTATGCTTTCTCACCTGTACGCTCCAGCCGGTCCGCTGGGATGTCGCGGATCCGGATAAGCCGGTGGCACGCCGTATTCGGGCACAGGCGGGGCACCGTATTCCGAAGAAAGACCTTGCGAGACCGGTGCGCCATATTCGTGAGAGATGCCGGCGACAGGTGCGCCGTACTCGAGACCAGGATGTCCACACTTAGGCTCGGGGCAATTGTACCGGCAAACTTGAATCACGCATTGGAAGTGGACGTTCATGCTGTCAGGGAACTTGAAGGCCTGGAAGTAGGCGAAGCTAACAACGGACGCGCTCGGGCCAAAGTTCTTGATCTTCTGGAACCTATAGAAGAAACAGCCTCGTTACTCTTCTTGAACTTTCTCTCTTGGAAATCACATCAATTCTCTCTAACTCATGTATATATTATATACAAAAAGAGAATTATTTTATATACAATACATTTCTTGTATTATTATTTATTTTATACTTTTATATTATATTTTAACGTTATTATAATGTATCGTTCGATATCATATATTTTATATTATGATGAATGATAAAGCAATCATTAGCAATATTAAATTACATATGGCACTCAGGCTCACCTGGACATGATCTTCGGCCTGACGACGCAACCGTACTGATCGACCAACTGAATCGGCGCCCTCTTGCCATCGTGGGCGACGCAATTTCTCACCAACATGTCAAACTTATTCTCGTCATCCTTGATGGCCAGCACCATTGTCATGGTCTGGCCGATCTTTACGATGCCGGACACCTCGCTGGCCCACGGACCCTTGCCGACCTGTATCTGCATCCAACACTGCAGGTTGTCGCCGAGAAAGTTGGCTGTGACGGCGTGCAGCATGTCGACCTGGAACGGCCTGAAGGTGACCGCCTTCTCGTAGAAGTCGTACCAGGTGCAACGCAGCTTTCTCGCTTGATCCCACACTTCCTGCACGTACGGGTCGTATTGCACGATGATCGTGTTCTCCACGTAGCTGCCGGACGGCGTCGGGGCACCGTAAGCCGCGACGTTGTGATTCGCCGATGAGCTCATACCGCACGAGTTGAGGAAGATCTCGAAGGTCGCGCTCAGGTGGCCGGTGCCGGGTTTGAGGTGCACGCAATGCGGATCCGAATAGAAGCCTTTGCTGAAGATCATACCGTAAAACGGCCGATCAAACTCGATGTTCACCCGCATATGCGTCTTCTCGCACTGCACCTGCAGATGCTTGATCTGCGGGGTGTCGGGCGACGCCAGCGGCCAGTTCTCCTCGTGGACCGCCGGCGGGCCGTACTGAGCCGGGGCCCCATAGACTGATCTGTGTTCCAGTGGTAGCGCGCTGCTATCGACCAACGGTGCTTCACTCCGTACGCCCTGATAACAAGAATGAATAACGCGTCTAGAAACAGCGATCAAGAAGAAAAGATTGTTCATCATGTAATCAAGATTCGTAAGATTCATTTATGCTAGAATAGATATATAAAAATTCCACTTAAAGAGCGATAGAAGTAAACGGCAAAACTATATATGAAAATTAAGATGTAACGATGCGATTAATCGTGAAAATTGCGCCGCATTTATTCTTTCGAGATACAAATGTAGTTGTTTGAACAAAACTTTTTCAATCTGCTCATCAAGTAAAGCAAATATGGCACAATTGTGTCGCAACTTTGAAGATTGTTCAGTTGCGTTGCAACTGAATTCCGTGAAACGCGTGCCCTTTTCGAGACCCTGCACGTACGCGTTTCGAAAGCGTTCTGCGGTTGTTATAACGGAGGATTCAACTAAAGTTTCGACAGAATCGCAATAAATGTGACGAAAAGCAGCGATTCGCCGTCTTTCTCGACTCTTTTCTTTCTCCCTCGACGAAAGCTCTCGCAAGCTACGGTCTTTCTGGAATTACAATGAATGACAAGTCCCTCCCTCTCGTCGTCACACTCTTCATTCCCTATGGCACGTTGCGGAAGCGAGGTTGTATTAGGAATTCCACGAATGTTTTCGGCCGTTGCGACCTTTACAACGGAATGCCAATCGAACACGATTTACAGTGCATGAAATTCCGTAGAATCGTGGAAAGAAAGCACTATCTGACCTTGAGAACGGCATCTCTGATCCTACATCTTTAAAGTTCGTTACTAAGAAAATCTTCGACGTACGTGGACAAGAGATATTTACTCTTCGCTGTACATTTTTCTTCTTGCTCTTTCTTGTACAAACTTTACTGTTAGAACAAATAAAAGTATGTACGCAAATAAATTCTAATGAAATTATACGATACTCTTATCCTTAAGAAATTAATTTTGTCTCATTAAGCAGTAGAGATTTTAAATTATAATAATATAAGTATTATGCAATTGAGAAGATCATTATTTCTTTAATTTCTCTTTTTCGTGGCTGTTAAAGTCAATTTCACACTTCAAAACAGTTGTTCAATATTAATTCTTACGATATGCTCTGTAAATATTAATCTTCTAATCACAATAGCATGCTACGATCGATATACAAGTCTGGATTTGTATCGTGAATCGAATGGTGTCGAGACTTTTGTGCCGGCACACATCAGATAGCGTATGTTAATGCTCGAGAATATGCTGACAAAAAATGTGACCTGTTGAAAACGTGTGTACTGTTAGCGAAAGGAGGAGCATTCGTCGAAAGCAATCGAATGCGGACTTATGTTCGGTCAGCTCCCTCGGGCAATTTTGTATTCCGATTTGGCTCAGAGTTGCAGAAACGTAATTATACCTGCGTATCGCGAAACAACGTCTTCACTTCCGCCAAGGGAGATCGTACTAAATCCGATTTTATTGTAACAGCGTATCTATCGCATTCTCTTATGCTTTCCCCAATTTGACACGCAACTCTAAACACATATATACATGCGCAAACATTGCTTCGTCATTAATTTAATATCTAAAATCTAGCATCTGTAGTTTTCGATTTGATTCCACGACATGAAACTTGCACACTGACAACGATTGAAAATAAATGTATAATTAATATGCCGATCTAAGGATAGCGATCATAAATGTAGTCTCAGATATATTTGCGTGCTAAGGTATCATGTTTCATTGTATATAAAAAAAATTAAGTGGCGCGCGGAAAAAAAAAATATATATAGTGTATATTTAGAGATATCTATATAAAACTAAATCGTCTCGTGTGCCAATTGCAACAGTTTTCATTATAAGTTAATTACAGAAACCAAACGTTCGTGTTTATGCATGCGTAATCGTAAACTAGACCGCATGAATCTTAATAGCGTATAATTGGTATAGTTGTTTAGACAACGTAACATTAAATTGTATCTATAATTACTTCATCAAATATGCACATTTTAAATATGAATCATAAGCTGCGAAAAGGATTACTTTCGAAACGAGAAATTTTAGAGAACATTACAAGAGTTAATTGTTCAGATTTAAAGGAATCGAGTCATAAAATTTTTTTAAACTTCCAATCCTATCTCGAGAGAGAAAAATCCTATTTTCTCTTTGTATTTTTTTATCTCTTTCACTCGTTCCGATAACACGGTTATAACTTCCCGGAAAAACCGAAGCAATTATCTTCGCGTACTGTAATTTGGAAAACGCTGAGAGGGAAGTAAACAGGAGACCATCTTTTTATTTTAATCGTCGGCTGGTATCAATCGTGAGAACCGGACAACAGGTTCACCGAACAGATCGGCGGCATATCTGTCTGTTTTTTTATTCTATTTGCATCTACATTTGATCCGATTCTTTTTGGATAGAAAAATACTGGTTGATGCGATACATCGAAATCACGGTTCGCCACTATTATATGAAACTAAATAAATGCGACTGATATCTTTGCCGGTCTGTCGAATTTCCAACGCGAGCATGGTAACGAGTATATAGGTCAGAATATAAAATCCGAGCTAATTAGTCCGTACAGTCTGTTCATGGATAATATATCCTCGCTATCTATATTTTTATATCTAAAGTTCTTACTTTTACTTTGTTAAACTTTTTATTCTACTTTTATTTTATTACTTCTTCCTCTGTGCCATCCTGCTAATTTCCCCATGTATATAAATGGATTAGAGATACGATTACAACTCTTGCGCGAATGGTGAAACTTGAAACTCTTAAACCTAACATTTAGCGAAAAATAACTTTCACGACGGATCGTTAACCTTAATATCAAATATAACTTTTATGACAAATTAAGTCTAATAGAAACGTCATCATATTAAAGCTGATAACCTATTTAATAATTGTGTAGCAATATAAAATTTAATATAATATAAAAAATATACAAATTCATCTAATTTGAAATTATTTAGCTCGGTTAATTTATTAGAAAATTTAAAATAAATAACCAATCAACAAACTTTTTTTTAAATTTATCTTCTTTTTAGGAAATACTCGAACAAAGACGCATCACAGACGAAGAACATGTCGCGAGTCGCGATTACAGCAAAGAACAAGCTGATTTCACTTTTCCATTGTCATTCGCTGAACAACGAATTGTTCGCGACTGGACAACGAACCTGTGTATATACTTTCACTGAATCGCGTTTGCAGAACGAGCATCTTGATTGCCGCGGATGTTACGGCTCGATACGAGATCCGTTGGCGACGATTTCAGAGGTTCCGCTTTAATCGCGTGCAATTTTACACAATAGCACTATTGGCCGTGCTGTTTAATAGGTTGAGTGCTACGGATACCGGTGTCCGATATTTCACGCTGACGGTATTTTTATCTCTCTCGTTTTATATGCATAGCAAGAAGTTCACGAATATCAACTTTCAAAATATGAGAATACATATATTGGTTTGATATTTATGTGTGATTAATATTTAATATTTACATCTTAATATTTTTCTTAATCTATTTAATTTAATATAGATACGATACTAAACGCATTAGCATAACTGTAAAGATAGAAAAAGATTAAAGTGGCTATCGATTCGTTTCTATTCGCAGCATATTCCAATTATCAAAGAAATTTCGATTCACGAGATATACACACATGACAAATTTGACGACAAACGATTGAATTTCTCTCGTTTAGAAAGCATCGCGTTTCTGCGGGTCCACTCGACGCTTTCGACAATGTAACACAGCCTGCTATCAAAAATAAGATAACAAATTTTCACAGAGAGAAACTTTCGAGTTGTAATACGAGCGATGTCTCTTCGGCTATATATGGTGGCGAAAAAGTAGGCCGGGTCAGTCAACGTAGACGGCGGTACCTACATGTCGCGTTGCACGTTTCGATAAAGCTATTATGCGAAACGATCGACGTCGAAATCGAAGCAGTTGCGAAAAAAATTCATTGACTCACGTTTCGCAAGATGATACATCACCGCGCGAGTACGTTCGATCATGTAACGTATATCGATTGTACATTTTTAAAACAAGGTCTGGTTTTATTCTAAGCGTTAATTAATCGATTTCCATTAAGCGGAAAAACGTTACTGCAAAAATTAATATATAAAAAATTATATTACATATTAACAACTGACATTACATATGTATAAGTACGGGTATAAATATGTATCGAGAATGTGGAACTGGAACAACCGCTGTGCTTTGGCAATAGAAGATCGAATATATCATTCATTTGGAACGTTTATCTTTATACAAGCGTTGAAATAAAAGACATTGATCGTTCTAGTTTAAGGTGACAATATTCAAGTATTAATAGAACTAGTGAAATTAACAAGTACACTATAAGAATCATTCATTGCATTAAATCTAAAATTTACTTTTACCGAGGGAAATTGTACGAAATAGTAAGAATCAGACAAGACCATTATTAAATTGAAGACAATAATGTTTCGCCGAGACTTAATGCTCTTTATCTGATCCATTTTTATAATAACGGTACTTTACGAATGAAAAGTCCAAGTAGAGTGGAATAAATTGCATTCAAACGTTCCGTAGATCTAATCTACAGATTCGCCGCTTTAGGGGCGGGGGGGAAGGGGGAGAGGGGGGAACCTAAATCGTCCGCGGTTTTTTTTTTTCGAGGTATCGCGAGCGCGGGAAGATGATGCGCGATCTAATTAAGAACATGACGATTAATGCCTTAGCGCATAAGCGTACAAAAGCGCGTGCGAACCAGGCTGAGAACCGCGACGGGCGTGCACTTTCGCGGAATAAAACTCGTCAGCCGGGATTTTAATTAAAGAGGGACACCGACCTGTGTGCGCCGGTGGATAGAGCAGAAATAGGTACAATACTACGAAACGGCGAGGCATCGAATGCGCAAACGTCACGGCGAATTTGGCGTCGGCGGTGGCCGAGTAATCGCGCGGCAACTCCCGCTAACTTTTATCCGCGGTAATCCTCGCAACGTTCATTTGTGCGGCCCTCTCGCGTGTCAATGACCCTCTTCTCATGAT